TACTCTGCATTTACCATAGGAGCAAGATCCTGCCCTACCGACGGGTAAACTAGGTGAACAGGTTCAGCAGATCACAGATCATCAGGGGACCCCCTCCGTTAGTCACTGGTGGAAAGTTGGATCCAGCAATCTCGCAGATTTTGTTGATCCTGCTACACCACATTGTCTTCGACCACGTGCTTGTGCATCTCACTGTGTGGTAGGTCCCACGCAAAGTGACATGATAGCATGGTGTAGTTATCCGAAAAGAAGTGCTTGCGCACGACAGTCTTCTGCGTGCGCACGCAAACGGGTACCACGATTCTCACGGCAGCGGCAAATGGGCGGAACCATTGTACTAGTCATTCATATTCGATCTTGTTTGCATTCAAATTCAAGTGATATTCAGCATGGTGTTTTCTCAGCGAAACCACACCATGCCGAATTTGCTGACGATATTGGGTGACCGTCGCCGTCGAGACACCATACACAGCTCACCAAGACGCACAGCAAACACGTCCAACAAGAGGTAGGTACAATGAAAAACTTAGTCGCAAACCAGTTTCGCGTCGCTGTACTGTAGTGTCTGTCTCCATGAGTAGAGCAAATGCAGTAAGCACGCTCTGTTTGTGCTCAAAAGGAGCCATCGGAGCACAAGCAATTTTGTAATTCGTCTGCCTTCCCTTGTAGACAGCGATCTCCGGAAGTATCGGCATTGATTAAAGCCGTAACCGGCTCACGCACATCTTCGCCAATCAAAATGATTCTTCCATCGTCGCCGTCCGAGCTGGACTCAGACGCGGCAGTCTCGTCGGCCGTAGCTGCATCTAAATCGTCCCCAGACGCCCTGTACGAGCTGTCCGATGCCGGTTCTCACTCACTTTCTTCTGACGCGACCGCCGGCTCTTCACTTAGCGTGCTGCGTAGCGTACCGAGCCCTCACTTGCTGCTCCTGATCTTACAAGTCGCACTGAGAATGGCAGTGGTGCTCGTGGCGGCCGTATACCCATTGTCGGGCGCCGCGTTAGTCGAGTTGCTGCTCATCGGTTCTTGCTTTCTTCGAGATCACTAAGGGCGTGTTCGAGGTAATCAAATAGTGCGATTATCAGACGATAGTCAGATTTTAGAGCAAATTGCAACGTAGAACACGATAACGTAAGAATCGCATTTTCACGTGAAAATTGGATAGTTTAAAGTGCAGGGAACAGCCTGTATTGATCCAGTAACTTTGCTCTCTGGCCACTAAAATGAGAATGTCAAAACTTACGTATGCGAATAGAAACAGTTGTTTCTCCTCTCGTGATTGGCATCGGATCTTTCTCGTCATTCCCAGATTTTACGTCAAGAAGCAAAACCGCGTCAGGTTGTGAAGGCCTGTGACGGTTGGATCAAGACAGATCCAGCCTCGACATGCTCTGGGTGACCAAGATCACCAGGATCTGGAGTGTATGTATCCTTATTTGGACAGATCTGCTGCGATCCAGCCATAACGCTGCGGATATCGGACAGTGAGGCCTAGATTGGAATGATCTACGTGTGGAAGATCATGATGAAGGCCTGTGAAAGTTGGATCAAGCTGGAGATTCTCCGGAAACCGCGACCCTGACGACAACTACGGCGGCGGAAGCCACGGCGACGACGACAATAACGTCGGCGACTGAAGCCTACACTACAATTTAATTTTTTTCGAGAAAAACGGGTTCAAAGATTGACCAACAGAAATCGTACTTAATTGTTGTTTTTGCAACAGGCGAATTCGAAAATCTCTACATTTCAACCAGGTGTATCACTTAGGCCGTGTTCGAGCTGAACACCATTTTCACTAATTTGTGATTTCCCTGAGATAGCACAAATAAAACGAATTTTCGAGCCAAGCAAAATCTCATTTCCACAGCTGCCGTGTTCGAAGTCAAAACTACACCTTCAAGAGAAGTGATGTGACACACATAATAAAACAAACAGCGCCTTCCTTCGTACACACTTTCAGTGCGGTAAGCCAGGGCGACTGTACTTGTGATTTATTCTAACCAAGTTAAGCTAACCAGGAAGCCATGCTCTCGCATTGCAGCAAGTTTGGTCCGCTGCTTCGGCTTTAACGCCATGAGATGCTCCCAAACTTCGACGTCGAACGTCGGCTTTTTTTTTCTTCCCTGTCTCGGAACAGATGCCGGTACCACTCAGGCCAGTTATGCACATGAAAAGATCGTAGTCTTGCATGAGGCAGGTGTACTTGGATTAGTATTGTCCTTTGCATGTCAACGAACAAGCACACAATCTCCTGGATTACCCATAGAGCAACTCATGTATGGGTCCGTAACTATCTTAGCCCAGCGTCCGATGATGATTGGTGTTGAGAGTATGCATGATCGCGTTCCACGCCTTTGGCTTGATCCCTTTATCCGTTGCAAGGGAACGACTGTTTCGTGTACCCAGATACTTTTCTAGTAGATCAAACCTTCCATCTCATTCCTGGAAGCTCTCACAGCCCCACCTCCGGAGTTGGCACGATCAGCAGCGATGGACATTGTTGTACCAAGAGTCGGTCATAATCTTCCACATGTAGATCGTCCCAATCTGGCCCTCACCACTCGAGATCCGCAGGATCTGTCCCCGTATACTCAAGGGTCCGGTATCTGTCATGTCAGGCTCTGGATCGACAAGACCACGTTCCACAATGATCAGATCCGTGACTCCTGGGCCTAATATGGGTCCACCACGCTATCTTAATCTCCATTATCATCATCTTTGGCCCAATCGCCCCGATCTGGTCGCCTGAGCCTGGGATCTTCAAAGTTCATCCTCTCATATCATCTACGCAAAAAAAATGCAACAGAAGACGTGTGGATTACGGATCCGCTACTGGATGTCGTGAGCGCAGCATCAAATTCGGCACTTGTACACATTCCGCGGGAAAATTCTATTTTTCAAGATTTTTAGGAAGGTCATGCAAGAAGCATACAAGGACCTGAAGACAGTTCAAAAGTACCAAATTTTCTCGATAACGGCTGCCAGTCCTGGTCAGATAGCATGCCGTGTAGAGCCAAACAGCGAGGTGCAGGTGCAAGACCTCGGGTGTTCATTTGACGGTTTTCTCACGGATGCTGACAAAGTGCGTGCGTTGCTTGAGAATCATCTCGAGGCTTTACCATCAGTGGTGGCGCCTCTCGCCTTTACCGCCTTTTCAATAGGCGCCTAAACTAGCTTAGGCGCTGGGTTTAGGCGATTCGGCTGCCGATTCGCCCTTTGGGTTTAGGCGCGCGATTGAGGACATTGAGATTATGTATACTATCATCAATTGTAGTGACTGTAAATCATACCTTTCACAAAAGATATAATCCAATTGCAAGACGTGCGCAAGAAGGCGTTGTGTTGCCCCCCCCCCCCCCCCCCCCCCCCCCCTCGTGAGTCGTAAGTACCAGCCACTCAATCGGTCTTTATGACAATTGTGAGGTCTCTAAGTGGATGTCTTTTGAGTGCTTCCAGCCTAGTGTTTTGCCTCCCCAACCCTGTGAATATGGTCCGCCCGCATATTCCCGAAAGAGAACATTTCACGTTAATGCGTGATATTCCCAGAAGCAAAGGCAACTACCCGTACTATACGTGTAAGCATTGCACGCTCGCACACAACCTGAACCCCGAGTTAGACCCTCCTGAACTTATCTTAGGGCGTTCCTGCAACTACGTTAGCCATCTTAAAAAGTGCGAAGCGTATCGAGTTTCAGCGGGACCGACTCAAGAACAGTCTAGTGGGGATTCCAGTTCAGGATCAGGATGCCACAAAAAGCGACCAGTAAATAAACGGCTAGTTTTCACAAATGCGTCGCCAAAGCGAAGCACGGGAAGGCGAACTCCGCAGAAGACAAAACGCAACCGCCGCTTTTCGAAGATCCAAAAACAAGAGCTTGAGCGCCTTTTAGTCGAGTTTCAGGCAGGAAATCTGCTTCCGGATCTCTTCATCGAACGTACATGTACAAGAGCTTTGTTCGAGTACTTGTGTCCTGGAATAGCGACATATCTACCGTCAAGACGTGTCCTTGGAGGTCGAATATTGAATTCGCAAGCTGACCATTGCCGTGAAGTCCAAATTCAAAATCTGAGACAGGAGCAGACGACTACGGGGGGGCTACGCAAACTTCCTATCAGATGTGTGGCAAATTATATCTCGCGAGCATGTGCTCGGATGTCAACTACAGCTATTTGGGAAGAATCTAACCTACTCGTTGCCGCAAGCTGGGAGCCGACACGATGGTACTGCGATTGCTGAAGAGATGGACACAATACTGAACCAGATGACGAACGAAGACTGGAACGTGGGGGCTGTAGTCACAGATAACGCCGGCCAATGCGGAAGGGCTCGGCGAATCTTGGCGTTGCGGTGGCCGAAAATGGTGTTTCTGTTTTGCTTTGCACACTGCGTAAACAACATTGTGAAGGCAGTCCTAAAGTCTGCTTTTGCTGATGTTGCTACAGCCACAACCACTGCAGTGAAGTGTCTTAACGCTTCTTCCTCTAAATGGCTCGTACGAGCAAGGGCGATGATGACGGAATGCTACGCGAGACCACTAGCATTGTTCACGTTGTGTGAAACTAGGTGGAACAGCATGCAGAGCTGTTT